GGGCGAAAGGGCTCTGGAACAAGTCTAAAGGCGAGGTGAGGTATTTCCAGCAAGAAGAACCGCGATTAGAACGATTACGGACTGCGGCGTGCGTGTGGAACGGTTCCATATATCTAGCCAAGCTTTGCGCAACGAGCGCTCGGTCTCGGTCTCAATTAATGCAATTACTCGCTCCCTCGTCTAATTACCTATCAAACGGAATTATTATCGCGCGCGCGGTCGTCTCTAATGAACGTTATTAATTGCTTTATGATTTTTTGATAAAACACGCCGCGTAATCAAGTTATTATCCCACAACGTGTGTTTCCATTTTTAAGACACCGCTGCCGCCACTGCCGTCGAGTTATTTTTTTTTTTTACTCCTTCTGTAAATACTCGTGAATGTCTCGAACGTTTAAATGTTTCCTCGAGCGCGAAACGTGGAATTCACGAGCGAGCGGACTGCTTGCTTTTGTTTGAAGATACAAAAAAAAAAAAAACACGTTAGATAAAATCTCTCTCACAACAAAAAGCGGCTATTAGGAATTACGGAATCGGGATTAATTAGAATTCGGTTCACTTCCGCTTCAAGCCGCTGAAATCATCTCGATAATATGCATCGCGTTAAAATAAATCGTTAAGAAGTAATCGACGCAGTTTCAAGGAGGCGATGATAACTTAAGCAACGGTTAGGGACGCTGGCTTCGTGGTAGTGAGCAGCAGGTGATATGGAATTGAAGAGCCGTAAAATTCCGTGAGCGAGAGACGAGGGTGACGCTGGCTAAATAACAGCCGGGGATGTCCCGTCACGGCGCTTTTCAGGTACGGCCGCTTCCCCTAATTTCTTATCTGCCGAGGCCAATTTGATAGATCGCCGATATAGAAAGTAGCCTTCTATAAAACACGGGGCAGCCTGCGCGCCACGGCGGACAGGTGCACCGTGTCAGGATGCACATCCAGCCAGGAGAGTGAGACCGACGCACCTGACCAACGACGCGGCTGTAAGCGACGCGGATTATACCTCGGTGTCTCTATTACCAGCCAGTGCGCGACTCTCCTCGCGTAAAAGCGCGAGATACTTTCACGAATTACGAGATAATCAAGGCTTCGCGCATGATGCACCGCGCGTATTATTGCGCGCCGTTGTATATGTGTACCCGCATGAAATCGAGATTGCGACGATTATTGACTGCACGCGCAGAAAAAGCAAGTTAATTATACCGTCATTACCGCGTTTATCGTAATCCTTATCCTTCTCACCATCGTCAGTGCCGGAATTATCGATGCTATGTGAATCTACGATAATGAGAATGGTACGTGTCTTTGCAAATCGAACTGATTTTATGTGATTTTAGCCGAGTGTTATTAGAATGCCAACGCGCGATACATACATATATCGTAATAGAGATTTGATGTCATTATTTTTTTCTTATGGGTTTTATTGTTTGGTAGTAATTTTTTTATCCTCCCCCCCCAATTTCTTTAAACTCAATTTAAAGTCAACTTCCTTGTTTTTTACTCATTGAATTGGAAAATTTCACAGCAGTAAGATTTATCAATATATTGTTTTCTTTCGATTCATCTCTACAATTGTATATATAAAAATGTAATTATTAGGCAGACGTTCAGCAGACAGTTGAGTGAGCACTCGCTGCTGTTTGTGTATTCTTCTAGTCTAATGAAGGTCTGATTGGATGATCTAGAATATACACTCTAAAAAATATCGATGTGAATTTAAGATCTTACGGTGTCTACATAATTCTCACTATATTAATATTAACACCAATGCGGTGAGAATTATGCAGACACCGCATAGTGTTAAATCCACCGATATTTTTTAGAATGCACCGACAGCAAGTCACTCAACTATTGAGTCCTGACCATTGTTTTATATATGTATATATAGTATATATACATATAGTCTTTATTAATTTCAAAGAACGTTTTCGGCGTTTGGTATACTTTGTAACGATGCCTCGACCGAGTCGCCATAAAGCCGCTCGCGCTCGGTTTAATACGTGTTGCACGACGCATGGTTTTAGAGCGAGCGTGACTTTTGCGTTCCCACGAGACGTAGGCTCGACTTTTGTCCCATGATCGAGCAAAGTGAACGAGCTAGTGAGCATCCTCCGACGAGTCGACGAGCCCGGACGTTCACGCACGCACTCATGACGGACGGACAGACGACACAGGCACGTACGCCACACACAGAACGTCCACGTGTACAGTCTCAACCGCGAAGAAGCCTTCATTTTTTTTAATAAGAACGGTAGCGAACACATTTTTATATGGAGAGAGGTTTTTTTTTTTCAATTTTTTTTCACCCGAGACTTTATAACAAAAACGGTAAAGATGTAATGGAATAAATTAGACTATAGGAAAATGGTAGAACTGCAACAGCAATATGTCTCTCATTACG